TCCCCCCCCCCCCCAGCTTAAAGAAGGCCAAGGTTGAGAATCAAAGACGTCACCCCCCCCCCCCCAGCTTAAAGAAGGCCAAGGTTGAGAATCAAAGACGTCACCTCCCCCCCCCCCAAAAAAAACTTACTTTTCCCATCGCAGGCCACGATTTTGACTTTATCCACTTTCACCACTTCTGTGACCTCCCTGAATTCCACGTCATTCAGCACGAAGGTCCAAACATTGTCGCAAAACCTGTAGGTGTTCAGGGAGCCCTTTGGGAGAAAGAAAAGGGGGGGGGGCTTAGCGCAGTGAGAGCCAACCTTTCTCTTACGGCGTGCCAAAATTGTGCGTGTGCCCACTCAATCCTCCCTGCCCACCTGTGCGTGCAGCCCCCCCTCCCCAGTACATGCATGCAACCCCTCCCCCCAGGCTCCGGAGGCTTTCCTGAAGCCTGGGCAGAGCGAAAACGGCCTCCTCTGGCCCTCCAGAAGGGTGAAAAATCAGCCAGCCAGCAGTCCCATGCGTGCCGGAGTTGTGGGCTGGCCTGCCACCAAATATGGCTCCGCCTGCCCCCTGTGGCACACGTGGCACAGGTTCGCCAACAGGGGCTTAGGGAAAGGGCCTTAAAAGGTGCTTTTTCCAAAGGCAGTTTGGACAGGGCTTTCTTCTTCTTCTTTTGAGGAAGAGGAAGGAGGCAGCCTTTCAAGCAACGCTGACCTGGACCACTGAGAACCTCCAGAGATCCTTAGGAAAAGGGGAAAGCAGCAAAAAGACCCCTTTTGAGCCCCCCCCCCCCCCAGCTCCCCTCTCTTCCTGATAGAGGCAGGCAGCCATTCTGGGAATAGTTCTTTCGCCCCCTGGTGGCCACCAAAGGAACAGCCGTGAGCAGGAGAATTGGGGGTGATTTTAGGAAGCCCCAGTGACTCGTATTTATGACCGTTGTAGTGTCCCAAGGTCACACGATTGCCTTCTGCGACCTTCCGACAAGCAAAGTCAACGGGGAAACTGGATTCATTTAACGACTGCGTTACTAACAAGGATTCCCTTAACCACTGTGGCAGGAAAGGTTCAATTGTCTCACTTAGCAGTAGAAATATTGGGCTCAGTTACAGGTGTAAATCAAGGACTTCCTTCTGAGCCTTATGTTTGAAAGGGAAACTAGAAGAAAGAGATTTAAACTAGGGGGGTGGGGAAATCACCCCATATTCTGCTACCATTTTAAGTGCTTCTTAGAAGAGAGCCGTAATCTGTATGCAAACTCAGTTGATGCCAGCTGATTTCTAATTAGCGTTTCTTACCCTGAAATTGACTCGGTTTCTGACCCGCTGGGCTAATGCAGCATTGATCGCTTTGTCAAACTGTAGGAGGACTTGGAGGGCGAGCTGGGGCGTGATCTGCTGAGACTGAAAGATTGAAGAAGAAAACCTTAAACGCCAAAGGGAAACATTCACCTGCCCAAAATTAAAACTTCTTTCTGGATATTCACGCATTGGTTGGTGTACCAAGTTTGTCCGAACAGGCCGGAAACCTTTCGAGCACAGATTAGAGTTTACAATCTCAACCAGCATGACTTGACTAGTTTTTCTCATTCCCTTCAACCGCTGTACAAATACAGAACTCTAAAAATGCTTAAATTGGTATAAATGTGATGCTGCCCGTTTAGTTTAGTTTATTGTCATTGCACCTCACACAATGAAATGACTTAAGTTTGCAACTTAAGGGGAGTAGT